TACAAGTTAATCATGAAAATATATGAAATAGAGAATTTACTCATGTGGGAATGAAAAAAAACATTATGAAAAACTTTGAATAAAATTATTGTGCAAATAAGCACCGGTTAAGGGTCAGGTGAATTGTAAAGGGACCCTGTGTCCCTATGAGGACGTACATAATCAAGATGGCAAAACCCATTTTTGGAAAAAACCGAAAAAACGATGGAGTCAAATAATTACACTACATCATCAGATGATGGAGGACAAGTAGTGGCGTTCTTAGCAATCCACAAAACGCAAAACGCAAGTTTTGTGATGACAAGACACATATGACAGTGTTAATGTCAACTGTCCGTAGAAATTTTAGAAGAACACCAATTCCTACCTTATTTCCCTTGGTTCTCACGATGTTCTCTGAACATTCTCGTGGGAACCAAAATATGAAAAACAAGTGTTATGAATTCTGTCTGATGTAGGTGAATTTTTATTTCTCGAGATTTCTGGAGATATTCTATCTCGTTTATTTCAAACATATCAATATAAGGACACCCAAGGTGTCACTGTTTATTAATATCCATAGAGTTATGAGATTACTTTTTTAGATATCAAAAGTGAAATTTGTTCATCACAGTGACAATAATTTCACAATCTTTACCTGATCTGTCCTAACTACAAATATATTGGAAAAAAACAATACATATTCTGTTGAGCTTCAACTTCATCAGCGGTAGCAACGCACGTGCCACTGTTTAATGCGAGAGAGCACATTATATTTCGGTTTCCTGTCTTTGAAAATTCGTCCAGTAGTTCCTGATGATCGATATTTTTGGTAGATTGGAAAATATTGACACAACTAAATTCTCATAATTTTGTGGGGGGGCTAGGTAATAATTTGGGGTGATTATTCCCCTCCCAACAATTTGGAGGGGGGCTTAGTCCCCGAATTGCCCCCTCCACCCCAACTAAGGTCGCCACTTTACTTCGGATCCTCTACTATATCCTCAGGCTGCTTTTAATTTGAGTTTATGAATTGATGAGTGTCTACAAATTTCTCTTGGACTACACCCTCATGATAAACAACCTTAGGAAATTAGTTTACCTATACAACATGTCGTACCTCTCATGAAAATGAAAATGATTGATACACATTTTAGCATATAATACAACGTGGATACTTCAACCTGTTGGAATTCCGTAATTATTCGTTAGGACGAAAAGTAGGAGAAACTAGACTAAAAGATACATTTTTTCAATTCGAAATCTCGAAATCAGAAATTTTGGCAAACAGGTGAATGAAATATAACTTTCAATGATCTGAAAGTTCGATATGTAATTATGGAACAATGAGAAAATTATTATAATAAAATTTCTTATTGAAAAACGATTTTCAATCGATGATATGTTCTTGCCAAATAAAACTAAAACAACTCCGTACAGGGTGTCTCCTTATATTTTGACTCCGATACGTACAGCTCCAACTATACGAGTTGAAAAAACTATGAAAGTTGTAGGGTTGGTTTCACCTGTACCATCAGTACTATCCTTAAACAAACAGATGCAAATCGGAACAAAGAGGCCAAATCAGTTTTTCTTCAAAAGGAACACCCTGTATATTTTCAACTCTAGTGAAAGATATGTATCTTCTGTCCACAAATATACAGCGTGTCTTATTTCAAATGGCCCCCCCTCGATATCTCAGCTATTAGTCGTGCGATCTTCAGCAAATTTGGACCGGTATATGAATAACCATCAATATGATCAGTTTTTCAGAGACGAACTTCACTTCAGACAGTGTCATGTTTTTTTATTGAAATGAAAGAGGGGCAATTTTTTAGAAAATTATATTAGGATTTTTTTACAGGAAAACTGACCTCATAATATTGTTCTTCATGGTTTCAAACCCCCATATGTAAATTTTCATATCTTGCCTATGAAGGGTTTAAAAAAAACAGGCACATCTAAACAGCATTTTTGCGAACGTAATAATAATTTTACTGGAAAAGAGTGAGTTCAACATAGAATAATATATTTTCTTTTTTCTTTCAAATTATGATCTTCTACCTACCGGAACCATTGAACGTTCCAAAATTGGCAGTTTATTTGAATTCCTAATTTTTTTGAGTCTGAAAATAAAAAGTGGAGCTAATCCTGTTAATTCGGAATAGGGTGTTTTTTTCCATATGACGGTTTGAAAGCATGAGGAGCAATAATATGAAGTTAGTTTTACTGCAAAAAATGTCCTATATGATTTCATTAAGATCGACACAATTTTATTTCAATAAACTTAAAATTTCACGTCGATATTTCCAGATTTCAAAATAATGTAATATCTTCTCAATATTGATTCGTCCTTTCTTCTGTCACATAAAAAAATAGTGTATTATACACGGGAAAAATATTAGATTTTAGCTCACGGTTTTTTGTCAACACAACACAACCTGCAGCTAAAATCTACTACTTTTTTCCTTTGTCTAATAAATAACTATTGTCATGAACGAAAATTAATTGTCGAATTCTTAGTTTTTTTTATTGGAATGGCTGTGCTAACCTAACATTAAATTAGCACAGCCACTAGAATAAATCGACAATTGAACTTCCAATATCCTCGCTGTGGTCTATAGCATATTAATTCATTTCTCATGGGTTTTCCTGGAATTCGTGAAATATCGAGATTCTGGCAACACTGCATTGAAAAAGCACGTCTTTTCACGATTTTCACATTCGTTCTAATGTATTTTATTTGTCAGAAGCAATAAAACTACGATTCAATGCCGATGAATTATCGAAAAATTCAATATCTTCAATGAACCAATTGTAACTTGGTGATTTTTTTTCTCCGCCCTGAAATCCGACAGTCAATTGTTGAATGACCAGAACATATTTGTCGTGAACGAAAAATAATTGTCGCGATCTTAGTTTTTTTCAATGAGGTGGCCAAACATTTTCGATCAATTTAAAGCCTGTATTTCGTATTGTTACCATAGCAACTAAAGGAATTTCTTGGAAATTGTTTTCCTCCTCCTTTGGGGACGGAACATGAAATTACACTGGAAATTTTTTGACGTTTATAGGTCAAATGACATTTACATTCAACTTCAGACTATTTCGAGTTCATTCTATAAGTCTGAAAACCATTTATCAACAGTTCGCCATATAATATTATGTAGGTATACTTGCAAATTCGAAATTTAAAGAAACACATGTTGTTATATACATATACTATATGTTGGTTCTTACATTTCATCAAAAACAACCATCATTTTCAGATGAACACTATGATATTATACCTACTCCTCAGTTTTGACATGAAGAATGACATACTTACGTGAATAAAAAAAATAAGCCTACTATTCATTATTCAAATGTCAAAATCATCAAACATCGTCATTATCCAAGTTTTTTTTCAATAATATTTTAGTGTGAAATTTTCTTACCGAATACCACTTTGGCTTCAATTAATATCCGGGAATTTTTTCTCGAACACGAATATTTAGAAAATTTTCAAAATATTCGTGTTCTCGAAAAAATTTCCGGAAATAATTGAAGCTCTCGTGATATTATAAGGACAATTGAACTTCCAAAATCATCGCTGTGGTCATCAAGAATTCTTAAGTTTCCACGATTTTCGTTTTCTCAACATTACAGGATATATTTCGTGGGAATCAGAACATAAAACAAATTAAAAACATTATTGAAAAATTCAATATCTTCAATGAACCAATTGTAACATGGAGTTGTTGAATGACCGAAACATATATATTTGTCGTGAAATTTAGTGGGGCAGCTGCTGATATACGATATGGAAGTGTGAAATTGAAATTATCTGTTTATATTATTATGTGCGAATAAATGTATACTGATATTCGAGTATTTTACTCTTGAGATGGGTCAGAAAAAAACAATTAATATAATCTGAATGTCCTCAAAACGTCCATTTTTGGTTCCAATCTGGACCTGAAATGGACGTCCCGAAAACATCCTGATTCAGACCTCATGGACCCCCCCCTACCCAGATAACACGAAGACGTCCTGTGTACGTCCAGAGGACGTACATCTGGGACGTACAAGACGTCCTGAAGACGTCCAGTGTCGGTCGAAGACGTCCACAGGACGTACTGGGGACGTCCGATGTTACAAGATGGAACGTCCCAGGGACGTCCATATTGAGTCCAAGTTTGGTATTTCATTGCCATGAATACCATAATCAACGTAGATTCGCCCCTTTTTTACTCAGATAGATAAACAAGACATTTATGCAATGTAGAAAAATATTATTTTGAATAAAAAAATTAAAAAAAGCCTTCCTACTGGGGGATCGATCCCACGATCTCTGAATTACCGAGCAGATGCTTTACCAACAACTCTACAAAACACTTATTGAATATAAGACTTACCTCTGTTCAACATATGCGACTATCAGATGAAAACGTATACATTGAGTGCAGAAACACTCCACCAGCTCATTTCAATGGAATTCGCTATGAATCAGTCTGAATTTTCTGATTGGTCATATAAAGACCAGGACGTAAGACAATGTGTACATAATTTCATCTTTAGGTATATCCTCCGAAATCTCTGAATCCAATAAAGAGATAACACTCTATTTAGTATAAAAATATATATGCGAACATTGCCAGATTTACTTCAATTTCTCCACATTGGTCACAAAAAATCAAGTGATTCATTGTGACCTATTATCGAATTGATCGGCAGCCATTAATAAGGGCCCTTATTCCTTCTCCATTTGATCACATCTGGCAATGTTTTATTGTTATTGGAAAATGTAATAAATATAGAGTGAATAATGAATATAGAAAAAAATTAAGACTAAAAATGGACGTCCTGAAAACGTACGCTCTGTACGTCCCGAATACGTACGGCATGGTACGTTCTGAGGACGTCCATATTAGGTTCCGGGACGTACGGACCCGAATCGGACGTAATATGTACGTCCCCGGGACGTCTTGTGATATCTGGGTAATTATACGGCACTGTCTACGACCTTGTTTTGTTTTCAGGTATGATCATTTCTATGCCATTCCTCCTCCTGACGTTCCTGGTTTATGTCATATTGCCGGAAACCAGCCTTCATCGTAGAGCTTTGATGTCCTACGTATTGACCCTGCTGGTGGGATACATCTTATTAGTGACCGTCCAGCTGAATGATAACACTGTTCCGAACACATTATGTCATGTTCTGGGTAAGTTGAGATAAAAATATCTCCAAAAGAGTCCGAAATAAAATATCTCAATTACTATATAGGGCTGTGCGATATTGAAAATTGGATATTTGGATATTTATCAATATATCGATACCTACATATCGATATGTGATATATGATCTATTCATATAATATATCGATTAGAGGTGGTGCATTGAAGTAACAAAACTTCATTGTTGATGTGCTCAACATATAGAACATTTATCTCAAATATCAAAATGAAGGTTTGGGGTCTAACGTTTCACTAACTAACTTGTCAGTGAAAATTTGATATTTTTTCTATATACCTTTATTTTTCTTCTCCAAACTTTTTTCAATACAAATTGTCACTTACAAGCTAGTGAAATATAAATGAAGTGATTACGGCTAAAAAAATATTCTGGCCCACTGGACCCGGTACATTTTTTTCTCCAAATTAGCGTGGCAGTTGAAGTGTTAAGTTGGATCCAATCAACTTTGAGACACCCTGTATAATGTATAAAAATAAAATTTTCAAGAAATGCACCAAAATCACTGAAACATTTTAATACTGGGCTATGGATTTTTCATTAAAGAGTTTCAATTGAAGGAATATTTCTTCTGATTTTCCCATGAAAAGTGGACGAAAACAATACCAACACTAATCAACGAACAAAACACAAAACTTAGGTAGCTGATAGCAATAAATAAATAGTAATAAAAAGTTCATCATGTAGACTAAGCACCTGATTGAATATTACACAATTGACATTCTTTCTCAATACGTCTATAGAAAGAGGCACAATAACAATCTTGAAGAACTTCGTACAACGACAGAGGCAGTTTTCCAGGAATTACAAAGACATCCCTTTATGATTTTGAATGTAATAAGACGTGTTGAGAAAGTGTGTGAGGGAAAATGGACATCAATTTGAAGAATTACCATTTATTTGTAACTTTTTTATATGAAAAATCATGGCCCACTATAAAAATTCAATGTTTTTGTGATCTTGGTGCATTTTTGAAAATTTAGAATTTGAACATTATATATTATATCATTCTGCGTAAAAATTTCTATGGCATGAGATTCCAATGTGGAAATTTTGCTGAGAAACTTCGTAATGTAGAGGGGTTCCAAAAAGTATAACTTTTCAAAATCGCCCTGTATCTCATAAACAGAAACAATTATGCATAATCTGATAGGTTAGGTTCCTTGTGAGTGGGGCGAATACCTCCCCTCCACTGCATAATCTGATAAGACCATCTTGAGTTTCACAAAAAAGTGGTACAGGACCCCGAAAACCGCAAGGTTCTATCTCCAAAGATAACTCAGATATCATGCAAAAGCATTGAAAACAGGACACACTGTACAGTTAATGATTGAGTGCGGAAAATGTAGTGGGCGATTCCTTGTCAAATTTGATAAAAAAATGCATATACACATTTGTCCTATATTGATTTGATCTGACAAACGAGGTTGGGATAAAGTAAATATCTTTGAAACGAAAAGGACGAAATTCATGAAACTTTGCAGTCAGATTGTTATATAATGATTATTGTTTAATGTTAGTTTATTATATTTGAATAAGTGACACTCTATATATGGATAGAGGCAACTGTCATTCTTGAGCTGAAATAAATCTGAGAGATTGTCATTGAAATCTTATTCTAAAAGTATCATAAAACATGGTGTCAGGTATGAATTGAAAGTAAAACAGTATGCAGGAGGAATTCAAAGAAGTATTGAAACAGTTTAAACAACTGCGGGAGGAGACATCTTCCAGAATCGACGAGTTGTCAAAGGAGAAAGAAGAAGCAGTGAAAAGACTAACAGAAGAAAATAATGCACTGAAAGAAAGATTATTTAGTGAATCCAGCTCCTACGAAACAAGAACCAATGTGCCATTACCAACACCAATTCAGTTAACAGGTGATGTGAAGTCAAACTTGGAATATTTCGAAAAAATGTGGATCAATCATTTGATTATAACTAATATGGTGAAGGGTAGCGAAAAGGTGAAGATCGCTATGTTATTATCTTGTATTGGAGAAGAGGCATGTAAAATATTATACAAAATTGAGAACGTGAATGATGAAAACCAAACGGCTGAGAATTTATTGAGAAAATTGCGAAATCATTTGATACCTGAATTGAACGTAAGATTCGAAAGGTATTTATTCAATACCGTTCAGCAGGAGGAAAATGAATCTTATCATGCATATTTCATCAAACTGAAATCCATGGTGAAAACCTGCCGATATGAAGATAAAGAAGATGAACTGCTACTGGACAAAATAATTTGTTCAGTCAAGGATATGAATATTAAACAAAAAATGTGGTTAAGAAAAAATATTACATTAGAGGAAGCTATTGAAATATGCAAATCCTCTGAAGTAGCAGATTCGCAGCTGAAACAAATGGGGCCAAAAATGAACGAGATATGTAAGATCCAGAGAAGAACACAGTATCAATATAAAAAAGATGAGACATGTAAATTTTGTGGATATAAATGGCATAGAAGCTTGAAAGAATGTCCAGCAAGAAGTGCAAAGTGTAAAGGATGTGGCAAAATTGGTCATTTTTACAAAGCGTGTTTGAAGTTGCGAGAGTAGAAGAAACAAATAGTGAAGAAGAAGTTAAATTTGTTCTGCAAATTAATGGAAAAAGTAAAGTTATCGAAAATTTAGCAGTTTGCTTAGAAAATAACTCGAAAAAATATGTGCAGTTTCAACTAGATACAGGAGCTAGTTGTAATGTGATAGGCATGGAAAACTTATCACAAATATTAAATAAGGTAAAAATAGACCTAGAACCGACAAATGTAATTTTGAAGGCATTCGGAGGTGGTACGGTGAAGACTATTGGTACATATAAGATGAAAATTGAAAGAAATAATATAATTTATCATCAACAGTTCCAAGTAGTTGATCTCGAACATGGGCCACTGCTATCAGCTGAGGCATGTGAGACTTTAGGCCTTATTAAATATTGCAGCACAATTCAAAGCACTAAACAAAAGAATACTGAAGAATTGATTGAAAGATATGCAGATCTTTTCACAGGACTCGGAGAGTTAGATGGGGAGGTTAATTTGGAAATTGTTAAAGATTCAAAACCAGTGAGACAATCACCAAGAAGAATACCTGTAGCATTGAAGGAAGAATTGAAACAAGAATTGAAAGAAATGGAAGAAATGGGCATAATAAGAGAAGAAAAGGGATATACAGATTGGGTTAGCAATATAACAATTGTAAAGAAAAAAGACAAATTGAGAATATGTCTGGATCCTAGGTATTTAAATGGAGTTTTGAAAGATACAAAACAACAGCTACCGACGATAGATGAAATTATGACAGAATTGAACAATGCAAAAATATTTTCAACGGTTGATGCAAAAAAAGGATTTTGGCAACTAAAACTAGATGAAATAAGTAGCAAGTTAACAGCTTTCTGGACGCCATTTGGTAAATACAGATATCTCAGACTTCCATTTGGCATATCGACGGCTATGGAAATATTTCAAAAGAAAATGTTGGAAATTATTCAGGGATTGGATGGAGTTTTTGTATTAGCTGATGATATACTGATAGTAGGAAGAGGAGAAACTCAGGAAGAAGCACTATTAGATCATAACAAAAATCTTGAAAAATTATTTGAACGACTGAAATTCGTAAATTTGAAATTGAATAAAGACAAGGCTAAGTTTGGTCTCAAAACTATAAAATTTTACGGACAATTGTTGACGGATGAAGGGATAAAACCAGATCCAGAAAAAGTTTCGGCTATAAAGAATATAGCAGTTCCGAAAAATAAAGAAGAAATTCAAAGATTTTTGGGTATCGTTACATACATGTGCAGATATTTGAAAAATTTATCAGAAATATCTGAGCCTCTACGAAAATTAACACACAAGAACGTATTATTTGAGTGGAATGGAGAACAACAAACAGCGTTCGAAAAATTGAAAGAAATGATATCCAATGATATCACGCTCAAATATTTCAAAATTGAGGAAGATGTGAAAATTGAAACCGATGCTTCTTCATATGCTATGGGATGTGCCTTATTTCAAAATGAACGACCAGTGGCATATGCATCTAAGACACTATCCAAAACACAACGAAATTATGCACAGATCGAAAAAGAGATGCTAGCTATTCTTTTTGCTTGTCATCGATTTGATCAGTATATTTGTGGTAAAAAAGTTATGATAGAAACAGATCATTCTCCACTAATAAATATATTCAAGAAACCATTACTGAAGGCTCCAAAAAGATTACAAAATATGATTTTGAGCCTACAAAGATATAATATAGAGCTTAAATATAAAAAAGGACAAGAAGTTATTATTGCAGATGCACTTTCAAGAGCACCAGAGAATATCACCAATGAAGAGAAATCGATAGATATTTATGAAATTGAGGAAGATAGATATATTACAACAATAGAATATCTGAATCAGATTCGTACATTCGAAAATCTGGGCGAAGTAACAGTGAAACGTGAAACGATACAGAGGATTAAAGAAGTCACAAAACAAGACAAGATACTCAAACAGATGGTAGAATATATAAAGAATGGTTGGCCAAAGAATAAAAGGGAAGTTGATGCAGAATTGAGAGTTTTTTGGACGTTTAGGGAAGAATTGATAATAGAAGAGGATATAATTCTGAAAGGTTGGAGAATATTAATTCCTAAAAAATTGCGAGGAGAGATAATTGAGAGATTGCATTCGGGACATTCAGGAATCGAAAACACAATGAAAATGGCTCGAGAAACTGTTTTTTGGCCAGGCATATCAAGAGATATAAGAAATAAAATAGAATCATGTGAAACTTGCGCTAGGTTCGCGTCGTCTCAAAAGAAGAATGAAATGATTTCTATTGAGACTCCAGAATATCCATTTCAAACTGTGAGCATGGATGTTTTTGAAATATCCATAAGTGGTAAGAAGAGACAGTTTTTGATCATGGTGGACCATTTTTCAGATTTTTTTGAAATAGAAGAATTAGGTGATTTG